GACAAATTACGAAGAAAACGATCACAATTACATTTAATCAAATCGTCACCGCTCACTGGTTTTTACGTTTATGAATTTAACCTTGAAAATATATACAATTTACATCCATAGCAAGGGAATTGACAAGGTCTACAACACCATTTATATTACTAAAATTTGTAACACTTTAAATAATAATCGAAAAAGTTATTTTTCGTTAAGTAAGTTCGGCAGTGTTTTTCCGCGGTCAACAAATGACGACAACGGTGATGAAAGTAACCTAAATTAACTGATTTAAACAATAATAATCCCATCAATTAGCTGTCTACAGGTTTATTTGTGTGAAAATAGGAGAATGTTTTGATATTTTACATTTAAACACTACCTGCTTTAATCAAGGAGGTATATCGAGATTTTTCGAGATGTTAGGTTCAATATTTAAAGTCTGAAATAATTATTTCCCATTAAAATTATATCAATTATAATACAGTATAGCCCAAAATAAACAGTATGAACTTGTAATTATTTTATTGATTCAAGAAATGCATATTATTGACACTTATTACATGTTCTAAATGTACATTTCATCGTTTAAGACAGACTTTTAGTCTAAGTCAAGTTTAATAAGGAAAGCCCAAAATAGGGAAGACTTTGCAGAGGTCATCGCCAACCTTCGCTAAAAAGACGGCACCCAAAGAAGAAGAAGAAGACAGACTTCATACCGGATGTTCCAAACTTCTCGTATTGTTATAGAATAAGAGTTGTCTCCCGCCGTTGTAGGCCCGCTAAGAAGGTTCAAATGGCATCCTTTAATTCATCGAATTGTGTAATTGCGACAGCAGTATGGAAAGCTGTCCCGTCTTGCTGGATAGATTAGTGCCAAAATGCCAAATTACGAACACGACAGAATTGACGTAGATCAGAGATAAAGCGTGTTAAAATTTTTATGTACCTCTGTTAATAAAGTGTGACTTTTGTTACATAAATCTCTACGATCAATACCTTTGGTTCTTAATATATTCAAAATCGTTACAGGATCTACCATATTGAAAGCCTTTTCGTAATTGGCATTTTTGGAGAATTACATAAAATGGCCAATTGCCAAAAAGTGCCTTACTGGTACTGCAGAGCATTTCTAAATCCAAAGTGGTTTTATCTAAACAAAAAAAAATCAATGTGTCGCTCATCTTCTTCTAAATGTGCTTATCTTCTAGAAATGTTGGCGAACACATTGACCCATCTTATTCTATTCACAGCAGCTCGAAATCGATCAGTTGAAGTTAGACAATTCCATTTACTCTTACTCTTACCCTCAATATTGCCCTGTATAAGTCGGTATTTATTATAAAACATGCCGGTTAGATAATGCCGAAGATCTCGGACAGTTCATTTTCTAATAGTACTGTTGCTTTTCGTTTGAGATATAAGTTTGAGATTAGCCTTATATCCTTACCATCAAGTCCTGATGTTTTTAGGATATCGATTAGATTCCCATGAGGGACTTTATCAAATGCCTTCTCGAAAACAATGAAAGTAAGGAGTACTTTAAATACATGGCTCATAAAACTAATTAATCTATGTTCTTCACATTTTCTAGCGTTGGTTTTTTTAGGAAGTGGAATGAATATTGATAGTAGCCAGTCTTTTGGTAAGTAACCAGTCTCGAAGATGTTGTTGAATAAGAGCCTTCTTAAGAGCTGTGATTTGGTGTGACTCTAATAACTTTAAAATTTCACCATGCACCTCATCAAGCTAATTAATTTGTGTTCGTCACATCCTTTTGTCCGCTAATTTTTTGTTATTGCTATAAAACAGACTAGCCATTCTTTAAATATTTCACCAATAGTATATACATTAAAAGCTTAACTAGAGCGTTAATGTGGTTCTCTTGTATCATTTTTAAGAGTTCAGCTAGGATGTCTGGTCCAGGTTGCTTTCTTGGTTTTGGTTGATTTTATTGCATAAAGAAATTTAGATTTTAAATATCAGGTCCTTCTTGATTTACATTGCTCTGTATGAGTCGCCTGTCATCTTGGAACAATTCAGTAATATAGTTACTCCATGTTTCAAATGTTTCTCGTTCTTCAATCATAACTATTCCTGCATTATCCACCAGAGTATTAGTGTTTTTCTTATTATAGAGGCCAGCACCTTCACGAACTGTATAATGTTTCAAATTGAACACGTCATGCTTCTTTTCTTTCTTCTTCTTCAAGTGCCATCCTCGTTCCGAAGGTTGGCGATCATCAGGGCTATACGTATTTTCGAAACTGCTGACCGAAACAATTCGTTGTTGTTACAGCTATACCATTCCCGTAGATTCTTTAGCCAGTAGTGTCGTCTTCTTCCTATGGACCTTTTTCCTGCTATTTTCCCTTGCATAATTATTCGAAGCAGTTCATATCTTTCGCCTCTTGTAATGTGTCCCAAGTATTGCAGTTTTCGTTTTTTGATCGTAAATATGACTCCCTTTTCTTTATTCATTCTTCTCAAGACCTCGACATTTGTGACTCTCTCGGTCCATGATATTCTCAGGATTCTGCGATACATCCACAGTTCAAATGCCTCTAATTTTTTGATATCAATCTTTTTCAACGTCCATGACTCCATTCTGTAGAACAGCACAGAAAGTACGTAACATCTCATCAGGCGAAGTTTCATTTCAAGGCTCAAATCTCTTCCGCAGAACACTCTCTTCATTTTAGTGAATATGGATCTGCCTTTTTCTATTCTTATTTTGATTTCTGCTGAGCTATCGTTGTCTTCTTTTCTTCTTCTTTTCTTTAGCCGCACATATTTTTGGTTTTATTTCTCTTTGTTTCTATAAATCTATTAGTTACTTTATGTTCTTCTATTATCTTGGTCATAAATTCACGAAATAATTTCTGTTTTCTCAACATTTTGGGTTCTTATTTCTTTCATGTAAGACATTATTATTTTTGTTTACATCTGAAATAGTAAAATTCTTTTGCTGATGTTTTTTCTCTATTCGTTTTGCCTGACTCTTCTATCGGCGACTAAAGGGTTGTCATCAGATCCAACTTCTGATCCGGGGCATGTCGTAACTCTACTAATAAATCTCATAAATGTTTTGTTGATAAAAATGGAAGATAGAGGTAGATATGTAAAAAAACAATTCAATTGGAGTTACTACTTCTCTGTCCATAGGTTTGTCAGCCACTCCATAATAAAACAGAGTATTTGGAACGTTAATTTAAATCTGCAAGCTTACTACAAAAAAAATATTACTTTGGATATTAACACGTTGATGGACAGAGACGCTGTGCAGCGTCTTTTTTTAAATTGTGTTGTGACAGAACGCTGTGAAGCGTCCTTAACAAAATCTAATATCGTGGCAGACGCTGTACCGCGTTATATTTATAATATAAATACATGGTAACACGTAATCCACTGTCGTAGAATACCTATCTATACCTTCCAATCTGTTACCCATCTGGTAAATTATCGTAATATATTCTGGTAATAATATCGACAAAAAGGACACTGTACAAATTGACTATTTTTGAATAACTTAGGTGTCCATCAAGGTGTTAAATATCATTATTCATGTCGCCTCAGCTCTACGGGAGTGTTTGCACCAGTACCATAACCAAACTGTTAATTTTTTTACTAGCTTTTTAATGATTTTTGGAAACTTTGGGATGGGATCTCTCTTTTAGTTTTTTTTTAATTTGATCATGACTCTGAAGATGGCATTGTATCCCGAAAGCGATCAACTAGGAATTAAATGCTTTACACACTTTTAAAGTACTTTTCTAAAGGAGAAGCAGAAGAGGACAAAAGAAGACATGGGGGAGACGCTTACGAAAGATATGTCGGTGATGTGAATCGATAAAGGACACAAATACATATTTTCCCTGGTTACAGCATTTCTACACATTCTGCATTTCTGGCATCTTGCACTTACAAGGTTAAATACTTTATATAGTGAGTTTTTCTATGAGTAGTTTGATGTTATCATTGCTGAACGTTCTTGACGGACTCCATTTTAAATCGTTTAATTAATTTTGAAGATAAATATATAAAAAATATGATATTAATGTGTCTCACAACTCTTATCAATAGGTGTAATAATTGCAGATATATAAAACGTAAATAAATATATTTTCACGTGACTGTTATAAACATTACGAATATGATATGTTTGCGTCACTGCATGTTTATTACTAAATAAAACGAAATTATAGAAATTTGCATGGTAATGGGTAATCATTATCATTTGTATCGAAAGTTTTGATAAATATCATTAAATTTCGAGTGTATTAAGCCAATAGATGTATCAATTTTATAAATTACGGGCCAAATCACGTGAGGAACGAAACAAGCATCAGATATTGACTGAGATAAATAAAAAACATATGTTACCGTTTAAATTCAAAGATCGTCAACTAAACCATAGTGTTTTGTATTATCTTGATGCTCATTTAGATTAAAGTAATATTAAGAACTTTGAAGAACTTTATTAAGAAGATTTGTTTAGAGCAGGAAGTTCTAAAATAAAACTAGCCATTATAATTGCCAACCGGTACGGAGACGGTATTCTAAGAATATTAAGAACAATGGCAAATCCCACTCGTTTGGAAAAAAGCTTCATCGAATCTGGGGAAGCAAGAAATCGCTAAAAACCACACGATTGAACATATATAGAAGATAGTTGGTCTAGCAGAGGTAAAAAGAAAAGGGAAGAGTGCATAACACTACAGTCCGGTAAGGTCCTATATTACAAAGGGCGAGAGGAATAAAGCCTAGATGGCGTAGGATTTCTATTGCCAAGAAATATGTACATAAAGTAGAGCAATTTGTAGAAATATCTGATAGAATTGCAATGATTTGGTTAAATGTAAACGAGAACATCTCCCTGAAACTTATTCAGGTATACGCTCCAAACGCAGCATATCCCGATGAAGAGATAGACGAATTTTATGAGAAAATTGCGTAGCTTTACTTCGAGAAAATGTAATTAACTAAAATACAGAAAGGAATAATGTACATATACTTACCGTTTAAAGTACCGTACGACATTGTTGTTATCTAAAACAAAAAAATCATTGTTAACTTATTGGACAATTTTCAAAACGAAATATTCATCTGATAAATACCAATATTATAAAGACAAACCATACGCAATTTGGCTTTAAGATTTGTTTGTAAAATAATAGTTAATTTTTATACAATATGTTGTGAAAAGTCCGGCTCTGAAGAGTGACTCATCATCTAGAATGCAGGCGAGACGTATCGAATAATATCGAAGACCAGATGCGGAAGAACCACGTACCGTTGACTAGAGTTTGCCCGAAAGAGTTTGTAAAATAGTTGTAAGAACATTTTTTGTTCAACTATTAAATAGATCAATGTAAAAAATTCAACATATCATTTGAGACAATATCAAAATGAAGTTACCATTGTTATGTTGAAAATAATTTACATGAAAGACTTTCTTTTGCTGACAAAATTATAAATTAAATGAATTTAGCTATTTGCATTGACTTAACACCTTTTATTTTCACCACATATATTTTACAACTGTTCAATCTCTCTCGTTACAACTGTATTGGGACCGTGCAAGTTCGGAACAGCGACAGCTGGTGTCGTAAATCAGCAAAATTTACTGCGATTTCATGTTAGACCTAGGTAACCGAATAACTGTCAAGGACGTGGCCCCAAAAAAGAATAAGAAGAAAAAGTAAGATTGAGGTTATGTCGGTATGTTATTAAAAGGTAAACGTTGATGTAGCGTAAATACAAATAAATATATTATTGAATTACAGCATTATTGTTAATATGGATTCAATAATAAAAACTGGATAGAAGAAAGTAAATCACCAAATAACTTTTCAACCAAGCATTGAGTCAAAGAGAAAAGCTTTAGTAGTGGCAAATGTCGAAAAAGAATGGAAGAATTAAGAAAAATAAATTACCATAAATAATGCTAATGCATAAATTAGCAGGTTAGGCCCATGATATCATCATATTGGTTTGAACAATTAATTCTTTCCCTGTAAACTTTTGGACAGCGAATATATCTTAATGCATCTTCAGAAAAACTTGAACTTGATGCATTCTTGTAAACTTCAAAAAAATAAAATTTAAACATTTAACTTGATATTTGGGTTAAAATGAACTCTAAGTGAGTGTTATGAAACTAAAATCACAGAATACTAATCACAACAAGAAGCGAAACGGAGGGCTTTTTCGCAATCCAAATTTCTTTGCGCATGTGCGAAATCGGCCATAGTGTTAGTAGTGTTGTTTGTTTATATATTGAGAAGTGTTATTGTATTGTATTGAAAAGTTATTTAGTTAGTTATTTAGTTAGTTAGTTAGTTAATTTAATATATTTGTGTAATAAACTTATTGTGATGGCTGCACGAAAGGATTTTATTGTGTGGTTCGTGGGTGCCCATCGAAAACTGGGGAAGAAATTAGTCTCTTTTCAATACCGACTGATCGTAGCAGGTAAACAAATTAAATTTTAAATTCAAACGTATTACAAATGTTGTCTGAATGTTTATATTTTAGTTAAATACACTTTTTTTAGAGGCCAATAGGTATGATCTGCTTTCAAAGGTGCTGAATTGCATACTAATTATAGAATGTGCGAGAAACGTTTTGAACCGGTGTACATGTACAAAGGAAACACACGGAAGTATTTATTTCAACAAGCACATCCAACGATTTTCTCACACAGCCAATATTCAAAACACACAGACGAACCATTAAAGAAAGTCATAAGGCTGGAAGGTAGATACTTTTTATTTATTCACAATTATAGTGCTTTATTATAAAAGTCACAGTATCTACTTACAACTATATACAAAGTTGTTTGTTGTTTTTCATAATATAAACAAGATCTGGAATTGTGAAATTTAATGATCTTTTATCAGCCTTATTAAGAACATAATATATCTTATGGTTACATACTGAGTAATATTTATGTCGCTGTTTTAGGTACCACTGAAACCTATAATGTACAGGAAGTAATTAATAGTCCAACTGATAAAAACCATAATACTATACCTGATACTTTGATGGAAGAGTTTCTGGTAACAGGTAATTTTATTTATTGCTACAACTGTATTATGCATTCAACTAATCACTAATAAGCATTAACATATCTACTTTGAACGTTTATATGTTATTTGGTTATTAAATATATTTTTATATTTCAGATGTTAATAATCAGGAAGTGTCTAGCCCACCTAGGCCCCATACTCCAGCTCCATTTTTCACAGCTGCAACACAAACCCCCTCCAAGTTGTCGGGAGGTACACCAAGAAAAAGGAAACTTAGATTGAAAATAAAAAAATTGCATGCAAGTGCAAAGAAAGCATATGCGTCTTCCAAACAGAAGGAAGACAATAAATCTTTAAAAAAATTTTTTCAAATGTGTGACAAATTTTTAAACAAATCCCTAGCACAAATAGTGAAAGCTCAAGCAATTTTAAAAACTAAATGTCCAAAAAGTAGAAGGTATTCTGATGAATATAAACAATTTGCATTAACACTATATTTTTTGGGCCCAAGAGTGTATGCTTTTATGGAAAGAATACTGTATTTGCCCTCAAAACGAAGTCTTCAAAAAATTACTGAAAATTTGGTCTGTAAACCTGGTTTGAATAATGACCAAATATTTGATGCCCTAAAGTTAAAAGTGAACACAATGTTAGATCAGGACAAGCACTGTAGTATTTGTATTGATGAAATGTCTATTAAAAGTAATTTATTTTTTGATACAGGTCGTGATGAGATTGTTGGTCTATATGATATAGGAAATGGGAAAAAGGAATCAATAATTGCACAAAATGTACTTGTGATAATGGTTCGAGGCTTATATTTAAATTGGAAACAACAACTAGCATATTTCTTTGTAAACACTACCTTTGAAGCAAATCATCTTCTTCCTATTATAAAAGAATGTATTTCTAAACTATTTCAATCAGGTTTATATGTGAATTGTCTTGTTACTGATATGGGATCGAATTTTCTAAAATTGAGTAAATTACTGAACTAACTCAGAATTTGATGTCAATGGACAAACAATTATTTATATATTTGATCCATGTCATTTAATTAAAGCCACTAGAAATAACTTAATTAATAATGTTTTTTATTTTGATGATAAAAAAACATCTTGGTCATTTATAGAAACTTTTTATCATGAAGATAAAAAGCAGTTCTATAAGTGTGCACCAAAACTAACACACTCCCATATATATCCTACATCTTTTGAAAAAATGCGAGTAAAACTAGCATCTCAAATTTTAAGTAACACAAGCTTGAGTAACAACACATAAGCTTGAGATTTCACAATTTATTAGGAAATTTGTCACATAATTTTTTAAACTGTTCTAATTCTTGTTTTGAGTCGTTTTGTTTTTTATATGTGTTTGTATTTAAAAGTTTCCATTTTAAAAACCTTATTTAACATTTCAGCTTAAACTTGGTCCGACTCTAATTTACTTTCTTTTAACCTAGATAAAACAGTAGCATTATCCTATCAAGGAGCTCTTCAACTCGTAACAGCCAGATCAGTACCGCTGATTCTGTAAAATTTCTTGGTATTTTTTGAGACAGCAACGTTAAACGGTCCCTTCATATCGATTTGTTAAGTAACAAACTAGCCTCAGCCTGCTATGCAATAAGATCTGTTTCGAAGGCGATCAATTTAGAATCTTCCAAAATTGCATATTTTTCTTTCTTCGAGTCTCATCTTCGATGTGGTCTTCCTTTTGGGGGTTCTGGTACAGCTGCCCAATCCGTTGATATTATTAAATAAAAAAAGTAATAAAGTATCTGTTTGGCCTCAGAAGAACAACACATTGCAGAGTCTACTTCAAAGATCACGGGATTTTACTTCCTTCTTTATATATTTTAGAAACTGTTTGCTTAGTTCGTAAATACCTACATGTCTTTCCAGCAAGACCTTATCATGACTACTAAACAAAAAATTCAACCTTTGATGTTTATTTACCGATGCCGTTCACAGTTAGTAAACAAATCTATATTATATTCTGCAAAAAAACCCTTTTACGACATAAATCTGCAACATCGTTCCCGAAGTTTCGTAAAATGATAAAAGCCTATCTATTTGAAAGACCATTTTATTCAGTAGAAGAGTTTCTTAATTAATAACTAAGAAATTACAATATCTTAATGTACAGTTCCATGGTTCTTTACCCGTGGGTCATCATTACCCAAAGTAGCTTAAACTTATTAGTTCCTACGGTTGATTATGCAATTTGTTATTGTCTTTTTCCTCTGAGTCTTTGTAAGCTTCATCCATAAAATTGTAAAATTTTCAATGACAATAAAGCATATATTTCTATTCTATTCCCATCCAGGTTATGTTTATCCATGCTTATAATGATCTTTTAGAATGGGGCGGAATAAGGAATATTTACTTGCATTCTATAAACATTCAGAAGTGCTTAATTAGATTTTTATGAAAAAGATTAGATATTACAGCAAACTGTTATACAACGAGAATAAATTTTTAACTGTACGTAAATTGGCCTCTTACAAAGCCCTTATACACATACATGAAATAAAAAAGGATACTATTATACATTAGCAATCATGCGCATCAAACTAGATATATAAGGAATAATGCAATTTTATTCAAATGTAATAAATCCATACTCCAGAAATATGTTGGCTACATAGGGCCCAAATGATACAATTGTCTACCGGAGAATTTAAAACAAATTAAGAGTTATAAAAAACATAGATATCAGTATAAAACTAAACAATGGATTGGAAACAAAATAACACAATTCTGCGAAGAGCAGATTAATTGATCATAGTAATAAATAAAAATATCGAAATATACCTTGTTTACCAACTACAATATTTCTTGAATTTATTGACATATTTATGTCACATGCTATATTAAAATGAATGTATTTTTGTAAGTGCGCATATGTAACTGTTTATATTAATACAATTGTTAAATATTTGCTTTTTTGCACATATATTTTTTAAGTATCACACACAAGGGGTGCTACTTTTATGGTAGCTCTATTTCAGTGATT